CCATCTTATTAAATATCTACATGCTTCCCTCAACTCAGATTTTAATAAACAATAACATCAGTTACCATAGCAATGCAGACGACACCCAGCTGTTCATGTCTCCAGGTGACTATGAACCCGTTATAGCTTCAGATAAATGCAGAGAAAAAAAATCAGTGCCTGAGCTACTAGAGGCCATTCCTCCTAAGAGGATAGAACATTAAAATATTAAATGCTTTTGTGGAAAAAGTTAATTTATAAAATATTAATATCCATTGTAATTTATAATATATTTTGCAATGATACTCATTTATTTCTTTTTTTAAATACCGGTACCAACATTTTTGTCTTAACTTAGGGTTTTTATATTTCTTATCACACCACCTTCAAAAATAAACCAGATGTTATGATTAAATAATTACTAATTACTATATAAGTACTCTATCAATTACTTTTCCTTTTCCCTCTTAAGCTGGAGGACTGTTATTTCTGTGTGGATAAAATCACATGGCCCATCCTGCGTTTGATGTTTAGCTTTTCTACCCACCTAGATGCAGAGATGCAGCAGCTCTACCCTGAAAGTTGAGTCCAGGCACCTTATAGAAAAAGCAAATATACTGAAGACACCAAACAGCCATAACCCGCTCTGCAACTCCCCAGGAGTAAAGCTCAGGTCCACTGTGTCTGTCAGGATGAACGCCATACTGCCCCCCTTGATTCTGAGAGAGATCACACATTGATCGGATGGGAAGCAAGGCTTTAATGAGAAAAATTATGATTGTCTGTACCCCATTTAATGCCATAAAAATATCTGACAGCAACATATTTAATCTTTTCAAATAAATGTACCCACTGATTGTTTTAACGTATAGAAAAAAAAGATCTAAAATTAAATCTATATGAACCACATTCAAGGTCTCATGAAGCAATTTTTTTTCACTTCAAGCCTCATGGTGTTAAAATGAAAAAAAAAAAACATTTTAAAATAAAGGTATAAAAAAAAAAAAATTAAAAAAAAAAAAAAAGTGAAAACTCCAAAATAGTAAAATAATTGCAAAGTCTATTTTATAAACAGAGTTTCTTTTTTCTACATTCAGGATTTGTTTTGCTCAGACTAAATATAGCGACAGATTTAGTTCCATAAAGGCGGAAAACCTTTATTTAATATGCATATAGCCCTAAAAAAGGCCACAAATTGAATTCCATATTCCCCATCCTAGGAACTCAAAATGAAATAAGCATTGAGCTTCTTCTTGCACGCCCCTCCCTTTGGTCCTGTTTTCCATCTCACTTGGGTAACAAGAAGCACCTGAATGCTAAACAGGGCCACAAAAAAGACAAAACTGTTAACTTTTTCTTCATGTCGACCCCAGTCAGTAGATGATTGTTGGTGAAGCACGACTTCATAATAAACAGAAGCAACATAAATGTAATGTGGTTTTAGACACAATTGAAATTTTATATCTTGGTAGTACGGAAATCTATGCATAATTGTTGGTGTAAAATTAGTTTAAGGTTTTTTCAACGTTTCAATATTTTTCTCATTTATTGCAGCTATTTCCAATCATTATTATTGCTAATTTATTTTGATAGAAAACAAACTGGGCCCCTGATCACCCCCTTATATGAAAACATGTCCCAGGGATTTTTGCAGGGTCAGGTTTCCTGTCTGATGAGCTAACGCTAGCTTTCTGAGTCCGAACTCCTTTCTTTTGGTAGTGAAGGACTGCTCAGAGTGCTGCTGTTATCATTCAGCTCTCATGGAGTTTGAGTTCTTTTGGAGCCAGGTCAGCATCACAACCGAAACAAGATTCCTCTGCTCTTCATTACTGATTAGAAACATGAATGTACGAATGTACAGTTGCTTTGTATTAAACTAACAGGTAACTTTTTTTCAATCAATAAACAGGCTACAGGCTGTAAAATGTAGAGGGTGAAGGGGCATGGGGAGCATGGAGGTATGTGCTGAATGCTGGAAAAGGTCTCTTTATGCCAAGGGGTAATATTTAAAAGTGAAGGAACTGATATGAACTGGAATTTTGCAGTTTTAAAATATTTGTTTTCATAAAGAGACAAAAGCGACAAACCAGAAATAGAATTAATGTTGGAAATGGGGGTGCATGATGGCGCAGTGGATAGCACTGTTGATTTGCAGCAAGAAGGTTCTGGGTTAGACTCCCATCTCTGCATCGAGTTTGCATGTTCTACCTGTGCGTGCATGCATGGGTTCTCTCTGGGTACTCTGCCTTCCTCCCACAGCCCAAAAACATGTCTGTTAGGTTATTGGCTTCTCTAAATTTTAGATGTGATTGTGTGCGTGGTTGTGTGTCTCTGTGTTGCCCTGCGACAGACTGGCGGTCTGTCCAGGGTGGACCCCGCCTCTCATTCATAGAGTGACGGAGATAGGCACCAGCTCCACCGGAGAGAAAATTAGATGGATAGAATATGATTTACTGGAGAAAATCAGTTTAAAGCTACAGTGTGTAATAATTACAGGGTTATACAGTCAGAAATGTAATACATTATACATAACTATGTTATTTATCATCATCTACGAGCTCAGCCTCTTAACCTTAATATTTGCGTTGCCTTAGAATTCGTT